TTAAAGGATTTGACGTCATTATCTGTATAGTGAGTGGTGATATAGTTATGCTAATTATAAAAGCCTAAATACTAGTGGAATTGAAGAGAGTGAACCTGAAACAAAAAAGATGTACAAAACCTTTAAAGGTGTACGAAGTGATCATTGATTATCTTCCAAGAAAGGCCAATGTTGTTGTGGAGGTACTTGCTCAGAACCTTTTTGCAGTTTTGTGAACTATGCATGTGCAATTAGCGTTGAATGAAAATGACACTGTGGAATAAATTAAAGATGACACCAATGCTTTTATTAGAGCTAATAATAGAATTACAAAGGAAAGACGAAAATTTCTTGATAAGAATTTTATAAGTAGAAAATAAAGAGATTAAGGACTTTTGAGGTCAGGTTCAACGGATGTTCGTATTATCGTGGGAGATTGTGTATTCCCGACGATTAAGAATTTAGAAAGATATTCTTGTTGAGTCCGTTGACTATGTATTCAGGTGGAAACAAGAGGTACCAAGATTTAAAGATTCGGTTGGGTGGCCTGAGTTGAAAAGAGCCATCACCAAAATTTTAGTAAAATGTCTGACGTAATATTAGAGGAAAAACTAAACATCAAGATGGTTGTATACGAAGCTTTATATTGGAGAAATGGTTAAACACCATTAAATTAGTTTGAGTTAAAAGATCGAAATCTAGTTGGCCCTGATTTAATAAAAGAAATGGATTATAAAATGAAAGTTACCCAAGATAAATTTTAAGATCGCTTCCAATTGAAAAAAGTTTTTTGTTGATCTAAAGAGAAAAGTGATTGAATGGAAAGAAGGTGATAAAGTTTTTCTGAAAGTATTGCTTTGGAAGGAAGTATTGAGGTTTGGACTAAGTCCGAGAATTATTGAACCATAGGAGATTTTATCAGTTAGCTTTTGTCTCCCGAAATGGACAAGACCTATAATATTTTCATGTGTCATTGCTTATTAATTAAAGATTAGATTCATTGCATGTTCTTACTTTGGGGGAAATAGAGATTCAATTAAAATTGAATTATGAAAAAAGAGCCAATACAGATCTGGACTCGAGAAATCCAGAAACTGCGTAATAAAACAATTCATCTAGTTGAAGTGTTGTGGTAAATACATAAAGTCTTCAAATTCGAGGACGAATTTTCTTAAGGGGAGAGAATTGTAATACCCCAAATATCAGATTTATGACCTTATTGAAAAGATTTAAAAATTTGTAGGCTTATTTGAATAATGATAAAAATATAAATGATTGGAATAGTATTTCAGACCAATTTGTAATCATGAATAAATATAGAGGGTATTTTGGTCCCTTAAGGAGAAATGAATTTAAAATTTATTCCTTATTAGGGGTTTAAGAAAGAAAAAGGGGAAAATAAAGCCAATATGTTATCTCTTTTGTTCTTCGTCCCCGTTTAAGGACAAACCACCATAACCAAGGTAAGGCTTAATTTAACTAGCCCTTCATCTTTTTTTTTGGGTTGTTCTTGGAACATTGAGTATTGTAGAAACTTAAGGAAGGGTTAAATAAGATTAAAACTAGGAGATGGATGATTTGAGATTGGAGAAAATGGGTTTTTGAATTATATGTTAGAATATGAGTTTTTATTGATGTTTACTAGTATATTTGACTTGTCAATGAAGTAAATAAGAGATTAGAAGCATTGAGGGGATTAAAACATGTTAGAAAAAGTGGTATGATTTTTAGAATGAAATATTGTTGGTAGTTTTTAGATGTTTTAAGAAGCTGAATGAAGGAAATTTAGTAGGGATAAGTAGAGAAGAGTTTAATAGTATTGTTGGGGGTAAACATAAGGAAATTTGACCAAATTTGGGTAAGATTCGAGCTAAGAAATAGAAAATATAGGTAAGGGTATTGGTACTGATAGAACAGTACCGATACTATAGGCTTAAAATTGGAAGGAATCGGTTGAGTTGTATCGATACTATGAGGAAGGTATCGATACCATTGATCAAGAATGCAAAAATAGTTTTGGTACCGTAATAGAGTATCGATACCATTGTATAGTAGTATCGATACCTTGGTATGGGTATCTATACTAATGAGCTAGAAATGTGAAAATAGGAGATTGTTATAGAAAGTATAATAATAGTACTCTTGAGTTTTGTTTAAGTATAATGGTTTGGAAATATACCAATAATTGATATTGTATATGTCTTTAATAGGTGATTGAGTAGATCGAAAACAAGTTCCCGAGTCCAGCAAAACGAAGGGCAAGGGCAAAGTACCTAAGTAATCAGATTTGTATTTTGGATACGATAGTGAGGCAAGCCAAGTGAGTGCATTTATTATGTACATATATGTTATGATAATCATAGATGTATGATTGCTTAAATTATGTATGGTGATTACCAAATAGGCACTGTGTATGTAAAACTAAGAAATTCATAATAAGTTTATGAATTTTTGTACAGACACTAAGGGTGCAACCCACAGAATTCATCATATGTTAATGAACAACCGTTTCGGCACTAAGTATTCAACCCACAGAATTCATCATATGTTGATGAACAACCGTTTTGGCACTAAGTTTGCAACCCACGAAATTCATCATATGTTGATGAATAGCAGTTTCGACACTAAGTGCGCAACCCACAGAATTCATCATATGTTGATGAACAACCGTTTCGGCACTAAGTGTGCAACCCACGCAATTCATTATATGTTGATGAACAACATTTCGACATTAAGTGTGCAACCCACGAAATTCATCATATATTGATGAACAATCGTTTCGACATTAAGTGTGCAACTCACGGAATTCATCATATGTTGATGAACAACCGTACAAGCACTATGTGTGCAACTCATGAAATTCATCATAGGTTGATGAACGACCGTATAGGCACTACGTGTGCATCTTAATAAAATGATAACGACTAAAAAGTTGGTAATTTGCCGTATTGGCACTACGTGTGCAAACTATAGAGTTATAATGAATTGAAAGAGTTAATTGAAATTATGAATAATTATTAGAGTAGAAATTATTCTAAAGTAAAAGATTAATGGCATAGCTGTGCATTTGGCAGGAAGGTGTCAATTATGCAAGTTAGATGAAAGGCTAAATGCCTTTGGGTAAAGACTAAATGCTTAACAGTGCAATTTGACATAAATGGTTTCATTCATTTATTTGACATAAAAGGCATGAAAGGATGCCATAAATGAAAATGCATAACGGTGCATTAAAGACATGAACAAATGTCATAAATGAAAATACATAACGGTGCATTAAAGGCATGAAAGGATGCCATAAATGAAATGCATAATGGTGCATAACAGGCATGAAGGGATGCCATAAATGTGAAATTGATGAATAATTACTAAAAATATGTATAGAAAGAAAGGTATGTTGGACATACTAAGAATGTTTATGATGATGGTATGAAGGAAATTTGGTTTAAATAATAGGGACTTATATAATCCTTATGGATGATGCGGAATAGTTCAAAACCAAATAAACATGATATACTTATGTATATATAGAAATGCTTTTTTAATATTATGTCTCAATAAGTATATACTTAACGTGTGTTGATTGCACGCGTAGGTAAAAGCAAAGACTAGTCGGGTACTAGGAGCAGGAGCAGCTATCATCAATCTAAGGTTGACTCTCATCAGTAACAGTAGGACAATCATGTTATTTTGAAAAATTATTGGCATGTAATCAAAATTAAGAAAAATTGCTCTAGAATGTATTTAAAGTGATAACTCTGATAATAGTTTTCAACGACTGTTTTATGGTTGTATTAAAATGTTTTTGGTTTTAAATTTCAAACAAAATTTATGGGTTTTGCAAATGGGTGAATGTTTTTAAAAGTCATGTGACACCTATGACTTGTGTACGGAAACGTATACGGGAAATGGGTGTTACATTTCGAGTTGCGAAAGAGACTAAGAGGTGAATGCGTTGTTTGGGATTTCATTATATTTGATCATCTATTGGAAAATCTTTAACCACAAGGATTAAACGAAGAAATTATTATATGTCATTTATACAAAATAATTACAGCTTTGTTGGTGGCTTTCAACAATGATACTTATTTCATCTTAGTTGTATTAGTCAACTCTATATTTCTAACCCCATTTTTTTCACAAGCATTTCATCGAACATCTATGCTTCACCTGAGATGACATGTATCTAACATTACACCTTGAATCGTTGATGGTCCCGATAGTCCCTTGGTTGGGTCTTCTCTCAATGGACCCTTATTCAAGTCAATACTTCCACATAATTCAAAATTAGATTAGAATTTCCCTTGCATCCCCAACTGAAAAGTTACACTGGAAATGAAAAGAAAGAAGCGAAAAAGGAAATTTGAGATCGAAAAGGAATTTAGGGTTTAGAATAAAATTGAGGATTATTGCAAGTTTTTAAAAGTTGGGGGACCTAAATGCAAGCTCCTGAAAAGTTTAATGACCATATTGCAAACGTAGTAACGATATCAAATAGCCAGTTACTTCGGGGATCATTGCAAACAACCGATTACGTCGGAGACCATATTGCAAACGGATTAAATGTTGAGGGACTGTATTACAAGTTTTAAAAGTTGGGAGACTTAAATAAAAGTTTTAGAAAAATTCAATGACCATTACTATACTTTACCCTTAACTTTATGTTGAATTTGTTTAAGAGGCGTTTATTTCTAATGAGGCGGTTATTTCTATATATTTTGAGCCAACCCCTCAACACAATAATAATAATAATAATAATAATAATAATAAATAATAATAATAATAATAATAATAAATTATGTGAACTCGATAAGGACATGCAAATTTGGGGATACACCCATGCAATGAATATTGAAAATATTAGGATGAAACATCCAATTGTGAGACTGAAGACCAACCCAATTATTGGGAGATATTATTATTAAATAAATACCTTCCTATCACATTTGATTTTTCTTAATATAAAAATGACCGTGATTCATCTATCGTCCAAATAAGTAAAACGAAGAATAAGATATTGATTGATGTCTTTCGTGGAACCTAAAAGAGGCCCTGTTAAACAAATCCATTCTGTCGGTCATTCACTGTAAGCTGGTGAGGAAAGAGAAGAGCGAAATAACTCATGAAATAAATGTTTATACGCGCCATTTTATTGGACGAGCGTATAATTACGGAGTAACGACGAAGTAGCTGATAATTTCTTTTGGAAACAGCTTCGGCTAACGGCAAACTATACTTTGAAAAAGATACGCGATTTGAGGAGCGTGAACTTTACATTCTCATGAAGAAAATTTGTACTCTATTATATGGTTGTTTCATAATGAAAACATAATAATATCTGTAATCACAATACTAATCATGTGCCCTTTCAAAGTCCTAAAACAAGAATTGTTTATAAAAAAATCAGAATTTATAAATAAAAAATAAATCGACTCTTGATGAAGAAAATAAAAGTTAATCATATCTAGAACTTTAAGTGTTTTGACACTTATATTTATCTTTATAATTTTAAAATAATGAAATATTATTATACTAAATTGTAATTCTTATATAAACAAAAATATATAATTACAAATCCTCTTTATAATAAACTATATTTTCCACTCATAAAAGTTTATAAACTCTTGTCAAAATTTTCTTTTAAGATTACATCTCTTTTAAATCTTTTAATTTTAGAAATTTAGTGTTACTATCTGCTTATAAAATATATTATTTTTTATTTTTAATTATTAAGAGATTTTATTTATTTTTATGACCTAATCGATTTTAATGAATAATAATTATATTTTAAAACTTTTAAATTCAAATACCAATTATGAGAAGTGAACGAGGATAGGAAATACAATAATAGAGGAATAGGGATAGAGAGCCAGGAACAAAAAGGTTGATTATACATAAGGAATTTAGTCCATTAAACAAGAAAGTTTGAAGTACACTCATTGAACTGAAAGTGGGACTATTTTCATCTCAAAAATTAAGAAAAAGGTTAGAAATATCAAAGGCGGGGAGTTGAGATGAACAGTTAAAAAGCGGAGGCAAACCAACCCATTTGGCCACTACGCAAATCGGAAAGATTAAATAAAATCTACAGGTATTACACAAATATCATCGTCATCTTCACACTTTTCCTAAAGAAAACAAATCGAGTTGAAACTTCGTCTCACTATTAATTTGATCCTTGAAGAAAGAGGGATAGATGGGATTGTTTTGAACTTCCCTTCTTTTGGTTGCCTCTTTCGTCTATTTGGAAAGAAAGCTGAAAAGGGGGGTTGGGGAGGGTGGGATTACTGACGATAAATTCTGGGTTTTGGTGGTCTTTTGGGTTTTAAAGATTTGAAGATATGTTGGGTGTGAATGTTTTTGTTGGCATAATAAACGCACTGATGATGACGAGTTCTTACCTTTGACTCTACCTCAACCTTTTTCTTTGCCTTCTCCAATCCCAGATTGGCCTTCAGGTATGTATCCTTTGAATTCCCGGACTTCTTTTTTGTTGATTTTTGGGGGAATTAAAATGAATTTGTGTTTTCTATTTTCCTTCCAAAATATTACAATGAGTTGGGATATTTCTTTTTCCTATTTTAGAAATTGTCTTTCTTTTAAATTATTTATTTAACTTTGGAGTATGCATGATGATTATGATTTATTAAGATTTTTAGCTGATCATTTAGACAACAATACTATATATAGTGACTCTAAAAGATATGTTTTGTACCCGTTTTCTCAGGTGGAGGATTTGCTGCTGGAAAAATAAACCTGGGAGAATTAGAAGTGGTTGAAATCACCGAGTTTGAGAGTGTTTGGAGCTGCGATTTGTTGCGTGGTAATGCTAAAGCTGTCACATTTTATAAACCTGTGGGGATTCCGGATGGATTTTTCCGTCTCGGTTATTACTGTCAACCAAATGACCAGCCCCTTAGAGGGTATGTTCTTGCGGCTCGGGAAAGGGTAGCTTCGACTCCGGAAGTCTTCGGTGACCATGACTCGGATTCAGGCTTTCCCGCACTGAGGAAACCTGTCAACTACTCGTTGATTTGGAGTTCGGATTCACTTCGCAATGGTTGTGGTTTCTTCTGGCAGCCAAATGCGCCGGTCGGTTACAAAGCGATGGGAATTTTGGTTACCAACTTTCCGGATGAGCCTAACGTTGATGAAATTAGATGTGTGCGAGAGGACCTTACTGAGGCTTGTGAAATTAAGGATGCCATACTTTCCGCTGGTGCAGATCCATTTCAGGTTTGGAACACAAGACCGTGCAGAAGGGGAATGTTTTGCAAAGGTGTTTCGGCTGGGACGTTCTTCTGCAGTACGTACTTTTTTTCAGAAGATGATGAATTGGAGATTGCATGCTTGAAGAATCTGGATCCGACACTACATGCGATGCCGGATTTAAGCCAGATTCATGCTCTCATCAAGCACTACGGTGCAAGAGTTTTCTTTCATCCTGATGAAGACTATCTGCCCTCATCGGTACAATGGTTTTTCAAAAATGGTGCACTTCTATGTGAAGATGGCAAACTTAAAGGTGAACCGATTGATTATTGGGGCTCGAATTTACCTTGTGGAGGGACAAATGACGGTGCATTTTGGATAGATTTGCCAGTAGAAGATGATGCAAGAAATAATGTTAAGAAAGGAAACTTGGAGAGTGCAGAGCTATATGTTCATGTAAAGCCAGCATTGGGTGGAACATTTACGGATATTGTGATGTGGATATTTTGTCCCTTCAACGGACCGGCCAACCTTAAGATCGGGTTAATGAACATACAGATGAACAAACTCGGGCAACATGTCAGCGACTGGGAACACTTCACTCTCCGGATAAGCAACTTCACTGGAGAACTGTGGCAGGCTTACTTCTCACAGCATAGTGGTGGTGAGTGGGTTGATGCTTTCGACTTGGAATATATTGAAGGTAATAAGCCGATTGTTTACTCGTCCAAACACGGACATGCTAGTTTTCCACATCCAGGTATGTACCTCCAAGGGTCAGTTAAACTCGGGATAGGGATTAGGAACGATGCTGCCCGAAGCCAGTATTTTGTGGACTCAAGCACCAGGTACCAGATTATTGCAGCCGAGTATCTTGGAGACGGAGTAGTTACAGAACCATGTTGGTTGAATTACATGAGAGAATGGGGTCCAACTATAGTATATGACTCACGTTCGGAACTGGATAGGATAATTCATTTGCTCCCGTTTTTTGTTCGATTTTCAGTGGAGAACATCTTTGACCTGTTTCCGACAGAGCTTTACGGCGAGGAGGGGCCTACAGGACCGAAGGAAAAGGATAATTGGGAGAAGATGAAAGATGTTAGTCCTACTAAGCATGGATATGTTCCCTTTTTTTTGAGTATATCGTCATACTAAGCATAGATGTGGTATGTTCAAGAACCTCTAATGTACTTAAGCACATTTCTTTCGTGTGTCAAGTTGTTGGAAATAGTGATCGGATTTCGTCATCTAGAACAAAAGGATAGCATTGCCGCTCCTCGCTGGTTTAGTTTCGAAACAGCAACACTCACATTCATGTTGCAGAGGTACCATGCTTCTGTTCAGCACTCTCTTTTTATATATACAAACTTTTCAAGGCAAGCAGAAAGTAGCTTCGGATGCAACCAGAACTCCAGTTCTCGACCGGTACATTGATAAAAGTATAAAACCTCTGCAGTTGCCATTCACTGTGATTGATTCTTAAATATTGTGGTCATGCTCATAGCTGCTATAGTAGTGCTTGTTAAGGGACTTACAGATTTCCCATGAAATCTTTGAATTTCATTTGCGAATCTGGAAAGAAGAAAGCCAAAAGATCTGAAATTGTTTGTCAAGGTTGTTGTATCTTAAACATAATGTATGCTTTAGGTCTTTGCTGTATATAAAACCTTGAACAAAATATTACCACTTGATTGATTATCAATGTCATTTAATTGATTTTTTTTTTTTTAAAAAACACTGCTGAATATGAATTTCAAACATTTGAATAATTAAAAAAATATCAGGTTAGCATCGTTAATTGGCGGGAGATTACTGATTAATTATTTATTTTCTTAACTTATTTCCAGTTTGGTGTTCAATTAATTAAGACGCGTGGCAGCTAAACTTAACTTTAATTATGAAATAAAGTGGAGTTTTGATGGATCATCATCCTTACCCCAAAGTTAAAGCTCTCTAGAACTACTCTAATTATAAAAAAATATTGTTCTAAATGCAATAATACATAATCGTGGACGCGAAATGCGCATAGATCTGAGAATTACGCAGAGGCAATTATAAATAATACTTGGATTGCAAGACATATAACCCTACAATACAGATTAAACGAACTTTTGGACATGAAATCCGAATAATTTACATTATTTAATCAATATTTCTAGTGATGATTCATATAATTAGTTCTAATTAAGAATATTGTTTGATGAATACAACTTGTCAAAATCCAAAAGAAAGAACAATTAAACAAATATTTAATATCTTTGCAATTCACAAAGTTTTTATTTTACATGAAAAAAAAGTTGGGTTTCTGGAAGACATAGCTTTGGAATCTTACACGAAGCTTTGATTCCACATCTTTCATTTTCTCAACAGCCAAACATGATAAAATCTGAAAAAAGAAATACATACAAAGCCAAGCATTAGACTTGCCTTGGAGGTTAATATTCCCTCGAAGTCTTCTTCTTCATTTTAATTTGCTGCAATTAGGCCATATCTGAATTGATGAAAATTTTAAAACCTTTGTTGAACTCCAGAACTTGGTCTTGAAATGATCTTCTTCCTCTCCATTTTTCGAGCAATTCCGTACTCATCGTCTCCTTCTCCTTTATCCAAACACCTCCACTCTAAAAGGCAAAAGTTGAGAAGAAGATATAAGAGTTCAGAAGCTACTTAAAGAAAGGGTGAAAATATTCGGCGTTTTTTCTGAAAAATCACCGGTGACCGGTATATTTATCGATCTAACATCGATCATATTATATTTCCCGATCTAACACCCGTAGTAGTAAAGCGCGCTCCCTGTCCCGCGCTATATGTTGATTTGGCGTTACGTGGGGTATAGCGCTCCCCCTGTACCGTGCTATACACTGACATGACTTACACGTAGGTATAGCGTGCCCCCTGATCTGCGCTATAAGCCACGTAGGGGTATAGCACTGCCCCTGCTCAGCGCTATACCTGGGTATGAATTATATTTAGTGCGGACTCTGGTCTGCGCTACACCTTTTATTTAATTACATATAGCGCGATGTAGGTATCGCGCCTTATATGGTTATAAATACCCTTCACTCTCGGTTAAGTTTCTCACATCTCCTCACATCTTTCCTCTCAACTTATAAATTAATACAACAATTCTGCCAATGAATAATAATTCTGATAATTTTTTCATATTTGATTTAAAAGTTCGTGCGATTTTTCATTATAAATTCTGTTATAAATTTTTTTATTATACTTATTGTTTATTATGATTATTTGAAAAAATATTATACTAATTATTTTCAATTAATTTTTGTGTTTGTAAAATTGAAAAGCATGAGCATACGTCAAAATAGTTCTGCGGTACAAGTAATAATATAAAATTATATTATTTAAATTATTTACGTTGATGTGTAAAAAGTTTATTGTGTTATATTTTCGTTCATATATAATTTATTTAATCAGGTTTGTTTCAGTTATTTTTTTTGCAGATATAATATTGTCGCACTTTTAAATTCAAAGAATGACGCGACTTTCAACTATTGTTTATTATGATGGTGAAATTCGAGAAGATGAAACCGTCGTTGTTTTAGTATCAAATGAGCGTGTTAAAATATCATTCAAGAGAATCATAACTCTTGAGGAGTTGATAACGAAGATTTCGATGAAGATTCATGTTGGAAGTAGTAGAAGAATGTCATCGTTGCAGTACAGATTTCCAACATCATTGTTGTCATTAACTTATACAGCATTCGAACTTTCGAACAATGATGATGTTCAAATAATGGTTGAAGCTCAAAGTAATTATTCAGACGCCGCTATTGAGATGCATGCATATTTTGTTCAAGTGTGTGCTGTTCGGGGTCAATCATTAAGCTCCAACTATGGGCTGGCTGAACAAGTTGATCAAGTTGACAGCCAAACTACAGTAATGTGTAATGATTTTAATGCCATAATGAGGAGACATTCATCCGCAACTCCTTACGATATGTACCGAGGTGGGTCCACGAACAATCTGTATGGCAACACCGCGTCCAGTTCAAGGGGAAAGCATTCATCTGCAAATTTCTTTGACCATATGGAGATGCCATCGACGCAACCATCTGTGCAGTTTCCATTTGACACGATGGCTTCAAGCTCCAGGGGGAGGCATTCGACTGCAAGCTTTTTCGATCTCAATATCGATCTGCCTTCCAGTTCAAGGGGAAGGCGTACAAGTAGTAGGTTCTTCGACCTAAATGTGGAGAGCATGGAGGAACCATCATCTCCACCAGAAGAACCGTTTCGTGAGCCTGGTGCGGATGGTGCTGAGACTGGACTATTCATTCACCCAGAATCACCACAATTTAACTCCGATGATGATGAAGTTCCAGGAAATATGGCACAAACTGACCCTCCAGCACACATGTATGAAGCTGATTATGGTGCAATGTATGGGCATGGAGTTTTCAAGCAAAGAAGAAGCGGTGATGGCTATAAAAAATTACAATATCCGTAATTCTGTTCAGTCCAGAGTCAATCGATCGACGACCGAAAAATATGTATGCCATTGTGCCTGACGCGAAAACATATGCAATTGGATGGTTCGCGTATCGAAAATGAAGAAGAAAAACAACATATGAGAACTAACAGTATACAACGGTCCTCACACATGTTGTGCTGAAGGGGGCAACCAAGATCATCCCAACTTGGACTCTGAAATGATATGCCAAGCCATCATGCCCATGGTAAAAACAAGCTCTCATATAGTTGTTGCAGTGTTGATTTCAGCTATACAATCGCAGTATGGGTACACTGTCTCCTATAAAAAAAGCTTGGTTGGTAAAACAAAATGCTATTGTCAAACTTCATGGCGAATGGGATGCATCTTACAACGAACTTCCAGGTTGGTTTAGGCTGGTGCGGACGTTGAATCGTGGGACAATTGTGGACTTCGAAACCTCCTATGCATACCATAATGATCGAGTTCTTCGTGATCGAAGCTAATTCTACCGGGTTTTTTGGAGTTACCCACAATGCGTTAATGCTGCCAAATACTGCAAGCTTGTGGTCCAGATCGACGGGACTTTCTTGTATGGAAAATACAAGCAAGTTTTATTATCGTCAGTTGTCCAAGATGGCAATCGCAACATTCTTCCAGTTGCTTTTGCTCTTATCGAAGGAGAAGATACAGATTCTTGGGTTTTTTTCCTCCGAAATTTACGTGCACATGTTATGACGAGGGAAAACATCTGTGTCATTTCAGATCGCGGAGCTGGGATCAAAGCAGCATTGGAGTCTTTGGGTCCAATGTGGCAACTACCCTTTGTCCAACATAGGTATTGTCTCCGACACATTGTTGTGAACTATCATGGAAGGTACAAGAAGAATGATGAGCGTCAATTAATTGTGCGAATGGGTAAGTGAAATTGATGTAGTTTGTTTTCTTTCAATCGTTTTAATTTTGCAAAGAAAGTAAGTTAGTAAGTTATACATTTTTTGATCATGTTACGAACTACTTCCTCGAACGTTTGAATCAATGCTTCAAGATTTACGGGTGAAGAACGAGGAAGGATACGATTACATCAGCCTCATCGATAAAGAAATGTGGACGAACGCATATGATGGTGGATATCGATATGGACACATGACGACCAACTTGGCAGAGGCAATCAATTCAATTTTAAAGGGTGCACGTCACTTACCAGTAGCGGCTTTGGTAAAGACTACATATTTTCGTTTGGGGGCGCTTTTTGCGAAGCTCGGAGGACAAGCTCAAACCTGGATGCAAGGCGGTCATGTCTATCACCCTAGATTAGTTGCAGATCTACAGAAAAAAATTGCTGCATCAAATGGAATGTATGTAACAAGCTTCTCTAGAAGGCATGAAATGTTTCGTGTAACAGAGTTGTCGCGACCTCTTCAAGGGATTAAAGCTGTGTCATTAAGAGTAAATCTAAGGGACAGAACGTGCGACTGCGGGTTTTTTCAAGCTCTGAAGTATCTATGCTCTCATGTGATAGTAGCTTGCTCGCATACACGTCAAGACTATAACCATTTTGTGGATCTCGTATACCTATTATCTGAAGTTTTTAAGGTATACGAATTTGAGTTTCCCCACATAGGTAATGACAAAGACCCTGATAAGGTTCAAGATTGGCTTCCGATTGTACCAAATCCGAGTTTATTGAGGGAGCGTGGTCGTCCAAAATCTAATCGAATTCATTGCGATATGGATATTCGAGAAAGATCTAGACAAGACAGAAGATGTGGGCATTGTAGAAACCCGTGACACACTAGAAAAACATGTCCACTTCTGTTGCCATCAAGTAACAATTGATGAGGAAATTATGTATTTGTTTATCAAATAATAATTCTTGTACTTTGATTTGCATTTACTTCAAGTTAATATCATTCGATAATCGCTGATGAAGATTAAAAAAACGAACACAATCATTAAATTTTATCAAACTAATAACAATTTGGTATTTGAATATAATTTTAAATACAACAAACTTACAATAAGAACTAAATGGTAAATGATAATCAAATTACAATAACTGATATTAAATGGTAATAAACAAAATTAACTAAAATACATTAA